CTTTTCGAAACTAATAATGGAAAATGTTCGTCAAAAAAGAAAAAAAAAGCAAAAAAAAATGAGAAGAAGTAAAAAACATATGCAAGGAACTTTCGGGTTTCGTGTGTGGTAATAACGATCGCACAATTGGTTACTAACCCCTTCTCTCTTTTTTTTCTCTCTCTCTCTTTTCTATCTGTTTTTCGTGTTCTCTATTTTTCGGTTATTCTACTAAACTAATATAATGGAAAATGTTTATTAAAAGTATCTACATACTGTGTACGAATAATTTTAAAATATACTACTACTACTACTACTAGTAGTATTGCTTGCACGTGGTAAATTGTAATTGGAACGTTGGTTAAAAAAAAAAAAAAAAAAACATTTATATTATATTATATTATTCTTTTTTTTCTTTTTTTTAGCTTTCATAATTTTATCCATAAAAAAATTTACAAACGGGAGTATTATTAAGAGTAAAAGATAAAAGATAAAAGATAAAAATAATATAAATAAAAAGATAGAAAGATTGATTCGATGAACGTTGGTTGAACATCGGCTCCCACCGCTCCGTTACATAGCCGCCTACCGCTCTGTTACATAGCCGCCTAACCGCTCCGTTACATTTTTTCAAATCACACGTGTTAGAAGTGAAATCTTCAAACAACTAAGTTTCGAAAGAATGAGACGAATACAAAATATCTGCTGTAGGATAATTGCCTCCCACCGCTCCGTTACATAGCCGCCTACCGCTCCGTTACATTATTTCAAATCACACCCATTCTAAAGACGTTTTTTTCACTTCAAAAAAAAAAATAAATGAAATTGTTACGAAACAACCCATTCAATCGAACCAAATCAACCAAACCAATCCAACCAAGTAGAGTCAGTGGTAACAAACGAAATTTATCTGCCGTGCGTGCTCGCTGCATTGCAGATACAGTTGTTGTTGTTGTTGATGTAGTGTTTATACATCCTCCATTAATCCCATGATGCGTAATAATTGGTTCCCTTTATTTTCCTAGCCCCGTATCCGGATTTGCAGCATATTTTAATGCACCGATAACGAGTTTTACGAACAAAACCCAATATGGAAAGAGCCACATCGAAAATCACCACCCGTGCGATATATCCAAAAAATTATGGTCGTACAGATAACCAAATACAATTGACGTCTTTTTTTATCGAATCTTTTTGTTCTTTTTTTTTTTTTTATCATCAAGATACAAAAGAGATGATGAAGATAGTAAATAAATAAATAAAAAAAAAAAAAAAAAAAAAGAGAGAAAAAAAATTGCGTTTGTTATCTTTATAGGAAGTAACGATAAAGTGCACATCACACACACACACACACACACATAATACACACAGACACACATAATACACATACGCACACGTATGTCTAGTAGATATTTTAAATCAATCTCTTGACGACATTTTTTTTTTTTTCTTTTTATTTTTTGCCTCCGATTCTCGTCTGATGCTGATAAAATCGTAAAGAGACAGATAGAGCTTTGTCTATTCTATTCTATGTGTGCATGTGTATGTGTATGTGTATGTATACGTGCGTGTATGGTTATGTATGTGTATGTGTGTCGATCGATTTTTTATTACAGCCAAAGGTCAGACAGGAAAAATAAAATAAGAGACAAAAAAATGAATATCAGAGTTAAATAGAAAGAGAGAGACATAGAGAGAGAGAGAGAGAGAAAAACAAATCTAAATATGGTGCTTGACAGAGATTTTTTTAAAACTCACGGTCAATCTTAATTAATGCAATTCTAATAAATCAGACTAAATTATGCATTGGTTTGTTTTTTTGTGACCTCACAATTCTGACAATGAGTTGAATTTGTCAATGAGTTTGTCACTGTCAAGAATATCTTTGTTTATTTTTTTTGAAACTCTAAAATGAATTGTTGAAGAAAATGTTTAGAGAACATTTTGTATGGGTATCCATAAGTAAGTGCATTGTATAGATATATATATATATAATATATAAATAGTAACTTGTTTTAATATTTTAATATTATAGTCGTTTTTTTTTTTAAATATAATTTAATAAAGTAATTAATTTATTATAAATAATATAAATGTTAAATTTAATAATCTTATAAATATTATTATAATTTATAAATGATAAAATTAAAAAATAAATAAATTATAATAATTATAAAAAGATTATATTTTTTTCAATATTAAATTGATTTACATTGAAAAATTATATTTAAATCAATGTAATAAATTAATTGATTTGATTCAAAAGTGAATTATTAAGATACATTTAATTTATTATATTTTAATAATCATTGTAACATTCGTAAAATAACAATAACTAAATAAATAAATAAATAAATAAATAAATAAAAAATAAAAGAAAGAAAGAAAGAAAGATTGATATCCGTAAAAAAAAAACGTTAAAAGATTCTTTCTTTTTTTTATTTTTCATTCTTCCCTCCTTAATTTTCCAGTTGAATTCATAAGAGAAGAAATTAAGAAGAGGAAGAAAAATGTTGAAGAAGGAAAAATGAAAAAAAAAAATAAAAAAAAACCCCTTAATAGAGAACCAGGGAGCTAATCTCGCGGACGCAAAACAGACGA